CTCTCTCTCTCTCTCTCTAACCGCTCAGTCTTTGCTTTCCGTATCTGCGTGCTGCACAGCCGTTTGTCTCTCCTCTCGCTCAGCTGCGTCGCACGGTTTTATTTCGCGGAGGCGGGACTTATTTCTCTCAGCCAATGAAATTTCAGATTCCCACCTGGACCAATAGTATACAGCTTTCCTCTTCTGTTTCTGTTAGGGATGTTCAAGATTCTTGTTTTAACCGATGTTTAATATTAAACTCGTTATTTTAGTTATTCACCCTTCCAATAATTCATTATGAAATTATCTATTAGTTAATTAGATATCTATTAATTAGTATTGTTAATTTCCTTAATTTATATTTTATATTTTATCTAAATTGAGGATGGATCATATTAGTAAGCCAATTAGTTAATACCTCATTAAGGTTCTAGCTTCTGGGTTACATGTGCACGAAGCTAATTTGTCGGAGAGAGCTGAGGCCCATGTAAGGTTATGAACTTCATAGTTTTCAGCTCCACACAGCTGCCCCTGTACACAGTAACACCCGCGTATGAAAACGTCAAGGTCGGGTGTTCCTCAGACTGTTTACATTCCAGGAGAAGAGTCCGAAGGAGAAGAAGAACGCTTTTACTTAATCAAAGTACTTAATTTGTGATTAAAGCTATTCGAAACAGATGTTGATCAACAATAATCAAGTGAATGATCTGTGAAATAAATATGTCATGATTTATGTTTAATGAAAACAGGACTATTGCAAAGACAGACTGATCCTCATCTCCATAGAAACGCATGACACATTGCTCCAACCAATCAGAGCCTTCGGCTGCCGCAAGAGAATCTGGTGTTGACTTAAAGTGTCCAATCCACTTTACTACAACTTATCAACAATTCAGAGATATAAAACAAGGCAACGCCATTTTAAGTCAGTTCCATTTTGACTTCAGTTCTGTTCACCGTCATCCTAAAGAAAAGCGCAGCCTGGCCGGATGTGTTTTCTTCTTTAAACTAAGAACTGTGAAGTTGGAGATTTTCGTCGTTTAACAACCAGACGACATCCTTTCGAAACAAGAGCACCTGCTGACTCTGCCGACTGGTACCGGGGTCGACCCTTCAGACGGGCTTTGACGTGCTGCGATCGCTGCTTTGACAGCTCCAGTACACATCCGAGGTTCTTGGACCTGGCATTTCCTGATCTACCTGGGAGGCCCCCACTGGGTACGTACACGGCAAAATAGCGGCTCATGTCATCACTTTATAAGCCTCATGATATCTAGTCATAACAACCAGAGACTACCAGATTCAATGACGTCAGCCTAAGGAGTCTGCACCAACCACACACACACACACACACCCACACATCGAACATCACATTCATTTCCAAACAACACAGAGTTAGTCCTGATAGATTGTAGAATTTATAATAAAATTCTTAAACGATCCCAACTCTCTCTTTCTTGTCTCAAGGTCAATACAGAGTGTTAAATGAACTCCCTGATGATAAAAACATCCTAATCTTCTGATTATAACAAGTGATCTACTTACAGTGTATTAAAATACAACTTTAGATAGTTACATCACTCTATTTCCGTTACACCCACCATTAGCAGTTCAGGCAGAAACAGAAAGTGTTTTAGTCTGACTGAGTACTCAGGAGATGCTGGGAATTTGATGATGTCATCATGCAAAATTAAAATGTGTACTATCTCAGAAACTGTTGCAGCACAAAACAATTTTACCTGCACAAATCAGCACAAATGAAGCACTAAAAAAGTAGACTATTATGCACCGATCAGGTTTTTTGCTGCCGATCACCGATACCGATATCAAAGAATGCTGATCACCGATACCGATCACGTGGATTGGCCAGAAATTTTCTACAACATTATAATGAGTGCTACAAACTACATAATCTGGGAATAAAGGAAATGTAACCTAATCTAAAATGGTCTGTATTAGGGTTGTCACGGTGTGAAAATTTAACCTCACGGTTATTGTGACCAAAATTGGGGCTGCATGGTGGAGCAGTGGTTAGCACTGTTGCCTCGCAGCATGAAGGTCGCAGGTTCAAAACTTGCCTTTCTGCATGGAGTTGCGTGTTCTCCCCATGCATGCGTGGATTTTCTCCGGGTACTCCGGTTTCCCCCACAGATCACAACATGCCCTATAGGTTAAAAAAAATAAAATTGTAAGTCGCTTTGGGTAAAAGCGTCTGCTAAGAACATAAACTACATAAACAAAATTACCATGGTTTTTGGTATTATCGCGGTACTTTTTTTTTAACGTGCTACATTTTCACACTATTAAATAAACCCTGTATGTCAGGAAATATTGTCCTCAGTTTGTGTCTAAATTTTGCCTAAATGTTGACAGAACACTTAACTCCTGTGCCACCGTTCCGTCTTTGCTTTTGTTTTACCTACATTTTCCGGATGCTTCCAAGTCATCACCAAAAGCTCCAATCAACATACATTTCTCATCCACTCCTAATACAGCATCAGCTCTTGCAAAAACTGATTTCTAAGAAAGTAAAAAAATACTCATTTTTAGACATTTTCTTATTTTTTGTTTAAATAGAAAAAAAATTCTCTAGAAAAATAACATTACTTAAAATAAGGAATATAATCTAAAATATGATTCAAAATTTCTTGTTTTGAGTAAAAAATTAATCTGCCAATGTGGTGTAGCGTGGACACTATATAACCAGAATTTAACGCTGTTGCTATTTAGCTTTGTTAGATTCTGAGAAAGATCATGCAAATTAGCATATGAAGCTTATATCTTGTATAAATATCCAGGATATTTATACAATCGATAAAAGTTCATACACCAACTGGCTTGGTCTATATTTAATCCAAAGATTAACATTTAATTTGATATTTAAATTAATAGCAAAGTTTAATTATTAAACCAGAAGACTTCATGGAATCTTTGCTTGTTCAGTAACCAAATATACACCATTCTGTGTTTCATTTCAAAGAAGAGTCAGGTTTAAAAGGTTAAGAATTTATTACTAACAATTTAAATATGACAATTTAAATATGACAATTTATAAATGACAGTTTATAAAAGCTTTGATATTAAAACTTGGTATTAAAAGCAACCTGTGTCTGAATGGAAACTAAAGTGGAATGCGTGTGTTTGGATGTGTGGATGGAATCTCAGAAGATTTCTTTCAGAGAGAGAAATGCGTTCTGGGTGAAAAAGTTGTTTTGCAGCTGAACTAAGTTGTTTCTTAGAGATAACAGCATACAGACGCCATCTGTCGCAAGTGCCTACCTCACCCATTCAGGAGACCCCCTGTTGGATCCGAGATGTCAGGTGGAGATGATGACCTTCGAGCTCGAGGTTGGTAGAAGGACCTTGGTGTGACCAAATCGGTCCTGAGATGTCTCCGGGTCACAACGACTGATGAACTGGTTGCGTCTCAAAAAAAAAAAATCAATAACTCTGAAGGAGTTTTGCGTCAGCTGGTTACAGGTGGCGTTTATTCGGAGCGATTCTACCGACGTGACAGAACAGCTTAGGTGGAGGCTTCAGGCGGCCGCCCCTATCCTCTGAGACTCTTCGCCACGGAGAGTTTCTGGTTGGTTCAAGAGCTGGTAGACTGAACTGAGGAGTTTGATTTTAACAAAACCTCAGGACACGTCCTCTCGGAGATAGAAAGCTTTGGTTATGGACCAAAGACATGTGAAGTGCAGTTACCTTTACCCTGATTCAGTCCTCTTCATGGTGTGTACAAGTGTACATGACCTTCTGGTTACTGATCAAACATCACTGATTATCATAAATAATAATTATTATTAACCAAAGAATTATAAGTCATTTCAGTAATTAAATACATTTATAATGAACCACGATAATTATTTATGATTATTTATGAACCTTGTAATAAAACAGTGATAAGGGTTTATTAAAAATGATTATTTTTAAATCTTGAAGTGTCTTTCATCTTGGGACGGAACAGCAGACAGATTAAAGGCAGTCAGATTAAAGATGGTTTAGCAGACTTTACGTCTCCTGTGATGGATAATCTGCGGACAGAAGTACAGCTCGACCCAGCTCGACCTCGCTGGGGAAGTGTGACCTTTGGGTCACAAATGAGGCCATTCATGTCGCTACAGTGGTAAGCAAAATTTGGTTGACTAGAAGTTTTTGCTTCCGTTTTTCTCATAACAAGATAATTGAAGTGACTGGACATTAGAGTGCTCGTCCCCTCAGGACCACTAATAACTGCTAAGTTTTAGACTGATTAGTGTCTCCTAGTGAGAGTTCTGTCTGTCTGGTCAATTTTATTTTATCAGTTCCTCTTCTGAAATTTGTCTCGACATCAAGGCTCTATCGATGCATTTAACTCTTAAATGCCTTACGTGTGATCCAGCATACCGGTGCATACCGGTACAGCCCCTGACCTTTAGAGTGGAAAGACCCTGCTCGTGCTCGCAGAGGCCTTACTTGTGTGGGGAATCAGACCGGACTACTCAGGGTGGGTCTGGTTCCTGGCTTACCTCTCGCTGGAGTGGACCCAGTGGATTGTGCTAGCCAGTAGAAGCCTCTCCACACGATTCCGTTTCTGGATCCCACCGAACTGGTGGCGAGGGTATCGTAGAATTCTGATGCAGCGAGTGTGCAGCTTCAGATCCAGAGATGCTGCACGAGCCTTGCTGATTCCTGCCGTCTTCTGGGGTTAGGAGTAAAGGGTTAAGCCTGAGCTAGGCTGTAGTTCCTCTTATGAGAAAGGAACTATCAGTTATATAATTTATCTAAGTAGTGTTGATAGGTAAAATAACTCGCAGGAGATGAGGTTTGTCTTTTGGGTTCTAGTAAAACAACCCTTTTAATAAATCAAGAAATTTCAACACCGTAAAATTAACCAAAAGGCCACGGTAAAAATGATCAAGAAAACAGTAAATCCATATAAAATATTTTTTGTGAGTTTTGTTACTTTATGATGTGTTTGGTTAATAAGGTAAAACAAAAATCATGACACTTCTAGTAAAACAATAAAACATTAGCACATGTCTATTAAACTAAAGTTTAAGCAAAATATGAGATTATTAAATCAAGAACTATAAACTGAAAGAATGAAAAATTTAAATGCAATTGAAAATCAAGCAATCAAAATGTTGAGCATTACCGGCTCAAAGTTAAGATTAAAACATAAGTAAAATTAAACTTAAAGGTCAATATGAAAAGAATGTTAAGCAATTAAGATTAACAAGTAAGAGATATGTAAATGGTGGGTAACTAAACCCCTTTAAAAGATAAGTAAAATTATCGTTTGAATTTAAACAAATTTGAGCAATTTACCTCTACTATAGTTAGATGGAGAGAATCCTTTAATGAGCCTTTGAGCGCTGTTAAGCTTCTCGTCTACCGGTTTTTAGTCAGCACCTCTCATGTGCTGCCACTCTAAGTTTTGACCTCCATCCTAGTATTTATTTATATACATCCGGATATGCATACAAATAAATGCAGTGCCTAAAGCACTGGCCCTTTAAGCCGTCTTAGTGAGGCCCGTGTTCACAATGCTCATTATAGATTTAATTAAAGAATGGTTCGCATGCGAAGAGAGTTCTCTTAAGTTCTGCGAGGCTCTCTGCCTTCAAGTTACAGAAGGACAAGTCGCAATCGAGAACCTCGATCGTTCCTTGTCGCTCACTTTTATAGTAAAATTCACCACGCTTTTGGCTCATGAGAGGACCCTCTCCACCAGGCAGTGACATCATGTGACATCAGGTGTAACCACAGCTTGTGCTGTTATGTGTTCCTAAAGTTGTAACCACATCCCGACTCTTAGGCAATGGGACATGGAGCTGATTTCATCTTCAGCATAGGTGTATTACCACATTCTGAAATGAGGTCTTGGTGAAGCCAAGTTTACGCTTATGTCGAAAACTTTTAAGAGCCGATGTCGTCGCCCCCGCTGTGGTTTTCAAGTGTTAGCGAGGTGACGCACATTCTGTGCATCTCTTGCATGCTTCTAGCAGGAAGACTCGGATTCAGCACCTGGTCCCATCGAACATCATGTCTTTTGTTTGTCCATCGCGGCTTCCTGTTCACACCGAGAGGGCCAAGGGCGTGTCCTTGAGGCAGCCCTCACCACAATAATTTTGATCATATTTAAGAACATCTGTCTTATTTTAAGTAATTGTATTTGTCTAGATAATATTTTCTTTTTAGACCAAAAACAAAATAAAATGTCTAAAATTAGAATTTTTTTACTGTCATAGAATAATTTGATCTTGTCCCTTGATTAGCTCAGCTTCCTGAATATCAACCATGCCCTTTAACAAACTGTAAAACATTTCCTGTTGGCCATACAGTGTGGATACAGGTTTACACATTTACAAATGTGAGTGAAACATGAAAAATAGCAACACCGCCCACATTTGTAATTTCAGTTCTCATGTTTTAAGCAGCAGGGCATGAAATATTTTTTCTTTGCTTTCTTTTTTCTATCATTAGGTTTTCTGGTTTAACTGTGGCCCGTTATTGTTTCTTGGTTCCTACCGCGGTGTCCTGTTCATTTCAACCAGGCCAGCTGCTCCCTCAGCAGGCTCCATGTGCAACAACACTGATAACAGAACTTGACATTAAAAATATTTCAAAAATCAATACTTCTTATCCATTTGTTTGATTCCATATACAGCTTTGAATATTTTCTATGTAATTGTACAAAGTTAATCAAAATCTGGAATTTGAGAAATAACCCGAGAGAACACAAGTTTTAAAAATGATCACAAACAGAGCATCATCATATAAATCTTTCTTTCCCCCCAAAAGTGTTTAAACACGTTTTGTTGATCCAGTTTGTGTGATGATGATGGATCCCTTTATTATGGATTCCATGTAGCTGTTCAATAGGAAGGAAGACAATAATGAAATCAGAGTTTGGTTTCAAATCCACCATTAAAACTCTTGAGAAATGATCCACACAAAATACGTCACCATTTCTGGCTATTTCTTCATCCACCAACTCAAAATGGAGATTATTGAAATTGTAAAGCTCTGCAGAAACATCTAAAACAGACAATTTAGTTATTTTTTGTTGTCAAATATTTCTAAAGAGCTCTCCACTAAACTTGAATAACTTAAAGTCTGGAGCTTTACCTGGAAATGAGTGACCATCAGTCTTGAGAGCCAGCTCAATGGAACGCCTCATTTCTTCCTCCAGTGTTACCAGGATTTCAGACTAATCCAGAAATGAAACCTTCATCAATGTTTGTCAGATTTTCAGATCAAGATAAACATAGAAGCCTATCCAATAATTATGACATAAAACCAGAGTAAGAGTAATCAATAAAAACAATAATCCAACAAAAATACACCAAATTCAGCATCTTGTAAGGTGTGAAAAGCCAAGTACAGGAGTTGATGAAGACAGATGTGAAGTGCATTAGAGTAATCCGGCTAAATGGAATAGCTTATTGTCTCAAAGTGCTGTCAGTACTATAGCTGCTTTTGCTTCGACCAGTTGCATTTTTTGGAAAAGGCTCGATCTAACATCCAACGGCTGCATTAGTCTGAATTTCAAATTCAAGATCAACATCCACTTTGAGCCTAAGAAGTAAAAACTGGTCTGATAGGAGGCTAAATCCACAGAGTACATCTCAGTTGAGCCACTGAACATTATATCGGTAACACTTTATAACAATGTTAAGTCACTAAACATTTATAAGTGTTTGGCATGTCATAAATAATTTATTTATTTTGAGCTGAGAGGCGCAGAGCTCTGATCGTTGATGCGCTCCAGACAGCTACGCCCTGAGCACGGCCACAGTGACATTCTCAAAGTGTCGCCACCTCATTTAAAAAAAACTTTAAAACGCAATTGTTTATGTCGGCTCATTTCCTTTTATGCTATCTGTCTTTTATTTGTGCCTGATGCATTACGCTGCTGCAGAGCGGAGCGCAGTTTTGTCTTCTGGCGACTTCACTTACGGTGCGGCCCGCGCGCACTCCGCTATTTCTGCGGTCGGTAGATCTTTTAGAACTGCAGTTCAAAGGTAACTCATGAGGTGCAAATACGTGAAGCCAGGTAGCAGCTTTTCTTTAGGATTGAGAGGAGATGCAGGAAGATAATAAACAGAGACAGGTCAGAAAAATAGTCAAATAAAAAACAAGTTTGTTTTTGTACCTGCTGGTTGCAACAAACAGACACCATTGAAGGTAATCAGAAGTGAGGAACAGAAAATTAAAACATTCTTTCAATGTTTAGAGCAACAGAAAATAATCAGAGGCTGCAGGCGCATCAGAGTTAGCGGCCGCTACGCAGGGTTGGGGTCGGGGTCGGGGTGGGGGTGGGGGGTGGCTGATGCAGGGGAACAGTAAAGATGCAGAAACTACCGTTGTTAAAAGAAATGTGGGCGCAATTTTTAATTACTTGTCAAAACCTCCAGCGAAGACTGTTACCTGTATACCTGCAGAATGAAATGATGTGTCCTTACTTTGGAACCAAAAGGGAACAAACATGGAAATGATTAGATTACATCCTCTGCTAGCTCTCAGCTGAAGGCTCAGATAGATTAGTCATTTGATATTTTATAATCACTAAGTTTTGCTGATTTTGTAATTACACAATGCAATAAAGACTATTGACTCTGTGACTCAATCCTTTAATCAAAGTAATAAAGGCCTCTTATTCTCGAGTCTCCTATTTTATATAACTGAGTAACTGAGCTTATTCGTGCATGCTATATAATGAAAACACCTTTTATTTACTCACCATGATTAGACAACTAATGCTTCACATATATTAAAATGCCTTTGACATATTTTTATTAAAGCTGCTAGTAAAATACATGTTTAAAAGCTGCATGAGATGTTAAACTCTTGAACTCAGCAGCAAGGACCACTAGAGCATTACATGAGTTAATGGTGGCCCAGGTCAAAGTGCACAAAGAGATAGGCACTGTTATTATTGAACTAATATTAATGTCTTGACTGCTAACATCTGGTGCCTTATTAAACGCAGCTTCATCCTGTTGACAGACACCAGGCACCACTAGTTCTTACAGGGAGGAAGACCTTGCCTCGGAACCGACCTTTATCAGTAAAACTCCCTTGAGAAAGTCTAGAAATTGCTTTGTTGATTTAGGGTGCACATGGAGTTTAGACTCCCTTCACTAACAAGCTTCCCGCCTGGAAGTCTACGTAGTAGCTTAAGGAATGTGTGTGTGTGTGCTTCATTTTTGTGTGTGCTTGAGTTTTCAATAAATGTACTGATTTTTCTCTCCACTTTGCAAAGTCTAAATTGATTGTTTATGATTGGTATTGGTGTTGATTGACTGATTGAATGATTGATTACTATAACCCCCTGTGCTTTAAACTTTCCCTAAGGTAATCTTGGATTGATAAAATTACCCAACAGGCACCAGACCCCAGAAGGGACTGAGAGACTTAAGGCCCTGATTAGGGCCGAGTGTCTCAGTTAGAAAAGAGCAATAAATAGAAGGAAGTGTGGTTTTTGTGCTGACATGAAATTTTGCAGACTGCCTGGAAATGAGGTGATTTTCATTCTATCGAAAGACAGACACCAGCGGACCAATGAGAAGAGACCACATTTGCACATTCTCTTAGTGATTGTATTAGTATAAAGCCCTGGGTCAGGAGACAGACTTCAGTCGAACTCCCAAAGAGTCCTCTGAAGGTGATGTATGGTGGTCAGAGACTTAAACGGTGATGGCCCCAGGATCCTGTAAACTGTTATCATTTTCCGTAGCTTAGAAATAAATAGTCAGGGTTTAACTTTAAACAACTGTTTTCATTGTCTTTTATTATTCACCACGCTACACGTACGCAACTAAATACAAGGGGGAACAAAAATCGGACCCTGTGGAACTCCACACAACAGATGTGCAGTCGAGGTCAGCAACGCTGACAGAAAGTTTACTTTACTAATTGAGACCAGTACTTTGATGAAGTGGTTACATTCTGATTGCAGCTGACTGACAACACAATTACTACATTGTCTATGTCTGTTTCTGTTTCAACATAAAAAAGGAAACAAACCTTTAAATCCTGGAGCTTTTTCAGCATAACATTTTTAGCCGTCTCAAACATGGTGTTCTTTGACTCAAGCACATGTTTTGTTAATGCGCCCCTCATCATTTGCAGGGTGCCATCTCCGCTACATTTTGCTGCTTCTACAAAACAAAAACATTATAGTAGAACTTTACAAACAAGAACATGAAATCTGAAAAATCATATCAACAATATTCTGTCATGAGGAGGTTTACTTACCTTTGTAGCCGTCTTCCATGATTTCCTCAGTTGTCTTTACCAGACTGTTGTAAATTTCTTTCTTGCCATTTCTGATCATCTCGCTTAGTTTTGTTTTGAGTTTCTCTTCCTACGTTAAGGCATTTAGTCATTATAACCTAAATAAATCATCAAATTAAAAATACACATTTTCTTTACCTCTGTCTTGAGGAATGTCAGCTGCAGTTTCACCTTATTGTAATTCTTTTTCAGTTTTTCAATATCAAGTGAAAACTTCGTGATGACCCCATTGAACGCACCACATTTCCCTCCATTCCTGAAACATTTTAAGGTACTTTACTTACAGTGGAGTGCAACACTTTGGGCAGCCTTGTTAATCTTCATGATTTTCCTTCATTGAGAACATGGTTGTTGTTCAATAATAAAATTATTCCTCAAAAATACAACTTGCCTAATAATTCTGCACTCCCTGTACACTAAAAGCAGTTTCCCCGACTTGGAAAATGTCCTAGACCTGCTCAACATACTAAGGCGTTCATGCAGAGAAACAATAGAATGTTCTGGAATGGCGATCTCAGTCTGCAGACCTGAATATGATTGAAAATATGTGATGTGTTAAAGAGAGCTGTCCTTGCTCAGAAGCATCAGACCTGAATAAACAAGAGATGTTTTGTAAAGAAGAATGGTCCAACATCCCTTCAACCAGAATCCAGACTCTCATTGGAAGCTATAAGATGCTTTTTCTACAAAAGGAGGATCGACTAAATATTGAGTTAATTTAGGTTTTGTGGTGCCCAAATGTATACACCTGCCTAATTCTGTTTAAACAATTATTGCTCACTTTCTGTACGTCATATACCCTTTGTTTCACTTCTCAAATAACACTGTATGTGTCTCCTATGTGATATCAAATGTTTTTACCGTAACAACCAACATTTATAAAGTTAAATCCATCTATTTTCCTCAGGGGTCGGATTGTGGAAGCAGTAGCCTAAGCAGAGGGGCCGAGACTTCCCTCTCCCCTGCAACTCGGGCCAGCTCCTTTGGGGAATCCTAAAGCATTCCCTGGTCAGCCGAGAGACATGTCCTCCAGCGTGTCCTGGGTATTCCTTTAGGCTTCCTCCCGGTTGGACGTGCCCAGAAAACCTCACCAGGAAGGTGTCCAGGAGGCATTCTAAGCAGATGCCTGATCCACCTCAACTATCTGATCTAGATGTGGGGGAGCAGCGGATCTACTCCGAGCCCCTCCCAGATGACCGAGCTTCTCAATCTATCTCAAGGTGAGAGCTCAGCCACCCTGCGGAGAAAACTCATTTCGGCCGCTTGTATCTGTGATCTCCTTCTTTCGGCCTCTACAACCCTGCAGCCGCAGCTCTGGTTGGCTGGCTCGATAGTGGAGGCATGCAGCGTGGTCCACTCAGACTCAATGTCTCCTGGCTCCCCCGGAATGTTTTGGAAGTTCTGTCGGAGGTGGGAATTGAAGCTCCTGACAGAAGACACTGACATTCCCAGCAGACCCTCACAATACGTTTAGACCTGCCAGGTCTGACCAGCATCCTCCCCCATGCAGGCGAAGAGAGGCTGCCCTCTTGTTCACCAGGTTAAAGATGGGGGGGCAACTAGTATACCCACCCCTGCTCAATGCCCCTCAGTGGGAGCAACTCCAGAGTGGTAGAGTGCACAATCCCACTCAAGGAAACGGATTCCAGAAACCAGAATTTTCCATAAAGAAAAATCACGAAGGTTGACAAGGCTGCTCAAACTTTTACATCCCTCTGTAACTTTAGAAACATAAAAGTAACAAACACTCTTATGCAATCAGTAAATCTGTAAAAATTGATGAAGCCATTGATGTAAGTTCTTACGGGAAGGTCTTTCTGAATACTTCATCAATGCTGTCAGTGAGGAATGAAGTCAATCTCATGTTGAGGTTTGCAGGATCCCCAGTTTTTGGTCTGGAGATGCCTTTGTTTTTGACCACACTCTTCAGTGTCTTGTGGAAACCACGGCCATCCCTTCCCTGAATTAGAACATAAAAAATAAACGTTTTAGCACAAATTTTAAAAGGATGTAAATTCACTATGTGTTTTTATCAGAACACTTGCTTCAGGATTCAGGAAAGATTTCAAGTCCTCTTCACACGTCGCTATAGATTCTTGAACTCCTTTACTTAAGCACTGGTCAAATGCTCTGTGGGTCCTTTCCATTTCCTCTGAGATTGCAGCAAGATGAGATGTTAAATTGCTTTCAAGGTGTTCACACACTTCTTTATTGTATTCAATCTAAAAAAAATAAGCACAAACATCGTGTAGAGCAACAGCACAATATATTGCACACTCAGTCAAGATTCACCAAAGTAATTTAAAACAAACGTTACCATGTTTGCTCTTAGATTACATGTTTTTGTTTGTTTTGTTAACCCTCAGGCTTTATTAGGGACATTTTAGTCAGTTTGGGCAGATTTTAACTTCTTTTTTTTCCCACTCCATTTCACCATTGTTTGTGCATATGGTACAAAATTTTGTCGTAAAACCCGTCTCTGGACAAAATCTGAAATTCAGTTTGGATTTTTGAAAATAGACCAGGGGATCACTGTGAAACAAATAAACCACTATACACTTGAGTCTTTAGCAGACAAAAATATCCTATCGACTTTCTTTCAAATCACAGTTTTTGATCCTGTAACATCTGAAAAGAAATCATCCTTTCTGTAATATTAGGGTTTCTTTTTGGAGAAAAGTAGTCAGATTTATGATCTTTTGATTTTTACTGTTCACCACCAAATTCAGTCATTTCTCCATATGTGGCCCAAGCGAGAAACTCTACACTCTTCAGTTTTTCTGCTGTTTGTATTGAATTCAAAAGGTCAACTTGTCCTCTGATAAGTAGATAAAACACAGTTTGACTCTCTTACTGAACTTCAAAGTGTAGAAAACAAAAAGTATTTGTATGTTTATGCACCTGGCTGGAGTTAAATACAGGTGCAGCCAAAGCTGAAGCAGAACAAGAGTCAAAAGGATGGATAAAAAGAACAAAGATGAACGCATCCCTTACAGAATTTCAATTGTGAAGAACGATTATGTTGACAATAATATTGTTTATCGTCAATATTATGTTGAACAATATATTGTCCAAAAAAATATGTTATCGTCCCAGGTCTATTCTGCTTAAATCCAGTTACTGTTGTGGAATTCTGAGCGGTTCCGGCTCGGTTCATCTATCTGTGTGTCATCAGATGCATCCGAAAATTTCCCTGTGAGAACAGAATAAGGACACTGTACTTCCCTGTCATCAATATGTTTGCTGCTGCTGCGTGTGTGTGTGTGTGTGTGTGTGTGTGTGTGTGTGTGTGTGTGTGTGTGTGTGTGTGTGTGCGTATGATAAATGTTATATGTTGCTTTACTTTTTTACTATTTTCTTTTACTTCACAACAAGCAGCTCAGAAAAACCACGGATATCCAGCTGCTGCTGGATATCCGTGGTTTTTCTTGGTCTGCTGATGCATTTTTTGGATTATGTTGTTGCGTTAAACTCAGTTGTTGTGCTGGAGTAGGGAAACAACTAAAATATGATGGATATGGATTATTGAGGACCAAGTTGGTGTAAAAAAATAGACATAATTTTTTTTACTTTATTAGCTGTGCCGGTGTCAGCTCAAAATGCCAGGGCTGAGTTTTTTGATCAGCGGGCTAATTTTTGGTCCCAGTCTACCTGTTTGTTACACAGTGAAGTGTGGTGAGGAAAAGGACTCATCATACTTCTTGGTTGAGTAGTTAAAGAAGTCAATTTATTTTCTCTCAGCCTTCAAAGATGGCACCTTATCCATGCCTCTTCCAGTTCCTGAGTCTGTCAGGTTCACAGATTCTCTCTTAAGCCTGAGTCATGCTTCTGCGTCAGCTCCACAAGGGACAGACATGCACGGATTGACGGAGGCGTTTTGCTCTCATACTTCCCCGTTTGCTGAAGGGGTGTTGCAAAGCAATTCTCCGCCAGGTTAACAGAGGGCGTAGCGTAGGTAGCAGTACAGTGATGTCTTACAATTTCCTTGGAAATCACTTACGCGGTCTGAAAAATGGCAAGCAACACGAGAAAGAGAAGTTTGATCGAGTTGGGACTGTGTGATCAAGACGAAGAAATGCTTATCTTGCTGAAATACCAGTGAGGGCATGAAAGGAGACAGCAGCGTCGGTGGGATGTCCATCCGCTAACCAGGTCTAGACAGACAACAGGCGAATGGCGTCATGACGGAAGTGATCTCAGGTTTCTGGACCGACCAATCACAAGCATGCATTCTCCGTCTCTTTTGACGGATGATAAGAAAAGTGGGCTCGACTCCGTACGTACTTGCGTGCCTGCCAGGGGGCCTACGCAAGGACGGATAATGGCGTTGCGTGTCTCTGCACTGACGCAGATGCAGAAGCATGACTCAGGCTTCAGTCCTTCACCAAACCCAGCAGTCCACCTAAATACACACCCTTAAGACCCCACCTCCAATTAAGATTGGCCAATCACTTCAACCTTTCACAGGAGAAAAGCACATTAAAGTGTTTCATATTACCATCTCAATAATGAAATATCATACATTTAAACCACATGCAATGTACACATCATTTGTTCTAGACATTTCTACAAGTTCCTCCAATCATGGTCAAACATGTTCTATAAAAAGGCTGCATTTGAGGCGGGCTCCCCCTTTAGCTGCTTCAAGATGGCTGCCAGAGAGGATACGCCCTTAATGTAGTAATGCCCATACTATAATCACCATCTTAACCCCTTAAATTTCCGGGTTTAATAAACGCAATGGGGCTTTGTCCCACGGGCGGGACGCTGATATGCTGTTGTTTTCTCAACACTGTCCCATCCCATAATAGGTCACAGTTGACCAAAGAGACATTTAGTGATTTTTACCGCATTCCTTGATCTGGCTCCTTCAATCAGTGAAAGAATCCCATAAGCTCCATTTACATAGTTGGTTGTCTTTGTCTTTGAGTGACTGTCATTGAGATCTTGCAGAAACTTCTGAAGCTTTGGTATTTCTGAGACAACAACAACAACAACAACAATGGTTGTCAACTTGCTGTACATCTAATTTTTTTTCCTACCACCAAAATAATCATTCAAAAATGGAGCCTTTACTTACCAGTAATTTCTTTTTCCGGGAAGTTGAAGTTGAGAAACTCTTTAGAGCTCACTGTGAATACTTCAAAACAATCTTCATCAAAGTGTTTCTGAGGATTTTTGATATTATTTCTGGATTAGATCAGTTTCAGATTGTGTCTGGCATGTGCTGTTAAAGCTCACCTTCACATTGGTTTGTTGGCTGTATGCGTTCTTCACGCCCTCTTTGGCTTTCTCGTTCCTCTCTTTTATCTGGGTTTGTTTCTCCTCTGCTGAGCTAGAAAAAAAAACATCTGTTGTTGAGAATTTCTTCTTTACACAAAAAACAATATTCCAGTTATTCAATCAACCTCTGCCCTGTAGTTTTGCAAGACATGTAAACTCAAACCTGGTGAACAAATACTTTTCATGCCTCAAAACATAAAGTGTCTTTGTCTTTCCAGAAAAACTACTTAAACCAAACTTAAAGTGCAACAAGGCTCTAATAGACTGAAATAAATGTTAGATGATCCGATACAACAATCTGTCATCAATTACTTTCCTCCTGTTTTGTTTAGTCTTGCCTCCAGTCCAGTCTCTTATTAATCAGGGACAGCTGAGCTCTTTTCTGTAGCATCTCTCAAGATAAAAATCATGAGGCGCTTCACAAAAACAAACAAAAAAATGAATTAAAAAAAAAGGATTTAAAAAAATTGTTTAAAAGATGTTTTATTTATTAGGAATGAAAAATATTAGGAATTATTATGAAACACCAGAAAACATATGAACATAATTGTTTTGTAGGAAAAAAAGTTGTATCAATTGTATCATTTGAAGTGAAATAAAAGAAGGAAGGTAAATAGGAAAGGAATGTTTATGATTTGCTTAAATTCAAATTAAGCAAGCGTGGCAGAACTGTGTATGGTGGTGTTTCAATCAGGACTATAAAAAGGATGCACCAGCCGACGCCCAGAATTAGTAGGCCAAGAGTCACAGGAACAAACATTTGTTCATGTGAAGCACTATTCCGCTTGTGTGGCAAGCCTGTGTAGAGTCAGCAGAGTCTTGAATGAAACAGCAGGAAGGCAGCCGAGAGACTTATTGCTGGAGTTGTTTTCTCGTTGGCTGTAATTTAGCCAGCGGCCTACAAGTATGGTGCTTCAGGCCTCATGCTAGTAGTTTTGAGACTTTGTCATTTCTATTTTTTGTAAGATGTTTTATCGAGTTAAGCAAGCAATGTTTATTCAATTCTGTTTGGTTAGTAACCCTACTAACACAGAAAGTCGCCACAACGTCGCAGTTTGCGACGTTTCGTTTGTGACGTAGTGACAACATAGCTGCTACATTTACTATGTTCCACAGGGGACGTTGTTGGTACACTGCTGAAACGTCACACTACAACGTCCTCCGAAAATCGCTTTACAACTTCTGTTAAATGTCCTCTCTGTAATGTATTCGGCACTTTGAATAACGTAGCTGCTACATTGTTAAAACATGATAACTGTAGTTCCAGAATAAATACAATTTGATCGAGATTTTATCATCAAATTAGATTTTCATTTTGTCCATATTGTGATTCTAATCTGGATTTTGTTAAAATTTAAAATGTTTTCCTCAACACACATGAAAAATAACACACAAAGATATAATTTAATTTGGTCTTTTAATGCTTTGTTTTTTATTATTATTAGAGTTTTGACAATAATAAACAATTAGTAGTTGCAGTACTTGAATCATGTTTATAGCTAAAATGTCTTTCTAATAAAAAAAACGGGACTTTTTATTTTATGAAAAAAAAAACTTTTCTAAACTTTGTTTACTGAAAAAAAAAACGTGTTTGCATTTGGCAAAAACAAGTTCTGAATGTACCAAAAGGTTTAAGGAGGAGCTACTAGATTCTTGAAGGAGGATGCATAATGGGCGTCAGCTCGAAGGGGATTATTTGCATTTAAATCATATCCGGTCTACTACCATTTGTTACCTTTGAAACCCCACCAACAAAGGTACATGTTGTGCAAGAGGTGAATGTTGATGGCGTGTGTGTGTGTGTGTGTGTGTCAGACTCGAAGACTGGTTTCGGGAGTACGAGCTTTATTAGAGACTGCTGGCTGCAAGCGGTGCTGAAAAGGCTGACGGAAGGATGAGGTCTGAGTTAGAAAGGTGGAGGTTTAACTGTCAGCTTCTGAATACTCTGATCATGGAACACGGTGGAACGATGACTGAGTGAAGAGCCGGTGTGGCGTCTTCCATATATAGACATGGATGACGCCGGTGCAACGTGGAGGGAATCCCCGCGAGGGGCATGCTGGGTAATGTGGTCCGAGACAGAAGCCGGTCAGCTGGGAGAGCCCGGCCTGGGGGCTTGGACTCTGATAGGACCCCCCAGTCCAGGGACGGCTCCCGAAGTCCCCGGGCCACCTCGGTGGGCCCAGAAGTCCGAGATGAGGGCAGGGTCCAAGATGGAGTGGGCCGGCTCCCAGGAGCGTTCCTCGGGGCCGTAGTCCGCCCAATCCACAAGGTACTGCCAACCCCGACCCCAGCGGCGAGCGTCCAAAATGCGCCGGACGGTGTTGATGGGCTCACCGTCGAGGAAGCGGGCCGGCGGAGGCGCTGGAGCCCGAGGCGGCAGGAGTGAGGATTCCACATAAGGTTTGAGCCGGGAGGTGTGGAAGGTGGGATGGACGCGAAGGCTTGTAGGCAGCCGCAACCGGTACATGTCCGGGTTGATGACATTCTGCACGGGGTAGGGTCCGAGGAACCGGGGAGCGAGCTTCCTGGAACCGGCGCGGACCCGGAGGCCTCCCGTGGACACCCAGACCCTGTCCCCTGGAGCATAGGAGGGGCCCGGGCGGTGCCTGCGGAGGTGTTGGTGGGAGTAACGGACGTTGGCCCGGGTGATGGAGGCCCGCGCCTTGATCCATGCATTTTTGCAGCGCCTCACCAGGGATTGAGCGGCCGGCACCGCGACTTCGGGTTCCTGGTGGGCAAAGACCGGGGGCTGATAGCCATAGCAGACCTCTAAAGGGGACATCTGAGTGGCCGAGGAGGTGTGGAGATTATGAGACAGCTCTGCCCAGAGGAGGTACTTAGGCCACTGCGAGGGCTGCGCCGAGACAAAGCAGCGGAGGTACCGGCCCAACTGTTTGTTTGCCTGCTCCGTTTGACCGTTGGTCTGTGGGTGGTAGCCCGAAGACAGGCTGACAGAAGCTCCCACTAGATGGCAGAAGGCTTTCCAGAAACGGGCCGTGAACTGGGGACCACGATCCGAGACCACGTCGACCGGGAACCCGTGGAGGCGCACCACGTTCTCCAGAAACAGTTCTGCAGTGCGTCGGGCCGAGGGGAGGCCCGGGAGGGCGATGAAGTGAACAGCCTTGGAAAACCGGTCAGTGACCATCAGGATGGTGTTGAGGTCGTTGACTGGCGGGAGACCTGTGACAAAGTCCAGCCCCACATGGGACCAGGGGCGACTGGGCACTGGAAGAGGTCTGAGGGTGCCAACCGGAGCCTGGGTGGATGCCTTAGAGCGGGCGCAGACGTCACAAGCGCTCATGAATTCCTTAACATCCCTCTCCATACGTGGCCACCAGAGAGCCCGTTTAAGGAACCTGAGAGTCCGAGAGAAGCCTGCGTGACCAGACAGGCGTGATGAGTGGGCCCAGGACAACGCCTCACTGCGACAGGCCGAGGGGACGTAGAACCGACCGGCGGGGGTCTCTGGCGGCGCTGGGTCACCCCGGAGGGCGTTTTGGATGGCCTCCTCCAACGGCCACCCAAGGTGGGCCACAAAACGGTGCTCCGGGAGGATGGGCGCCGGCTCGGACGTGGGCTCTGAATGGGTGAACTGGCGGGAGAGGGCGTCCGCCTTCTGGTTCTTTGTCCCGGGGCGATAGGCGAGATGGAACTCGTAGGGTTCGAAGAAGAGGGCCCAGCGTGCCTGGCGAGGATTTAACTGCTTGGCGGACCGTATGTGGGTTAGGTTCTGGTGGTCAGTCCAGATGGTGAACGGCTGAGTGGTGCCCAGAAGCCACTGCCTCCATTCCTCCAACGCCCATTTTATGGCTAGCAGTTCACGATCCCCCACGCCGTACTTCTGCTGGGTGGTGGAGAACTTCCTGGAGAAGTAGGCGCAGGGATGTAGCCTGTCGTCGGGGCCGCCTTGGGACAGGATGGCGCCGGCACCGACATCCGAGGCGTCGACCTCGACCACAAAAGGGACTGCCTGGTCCGGGTGGCGCAGGATAGGAGCCGATGTGAAACGAGCGACTAGGTAGTGGAAGGCCCGAATGGCGTCTGGGGTGAGCCGGAACGGTTGACCAGGAGGGCTCGGTCGGGTGAGAGAAGTGAGAGGTGCTACAATGGTGTCTTTGATAAATCGACGGTAGAAGTTGCAGAAACCCAGAAAGCTCTGCAGTTGCTTTAGGCTGGTAGGTAGGGTTCAGTCCTTAACTGCCTGGACTTTCTGAGGGTCCATGGTTAGACCTTGATCCGAAATCAGGTAGCCCAGGAATGAAACGGACCGCTGGTGGAAGGAGCACTTCTCGGGCTTGCAGATCAGGTTGTTGTCCAGGAGCCGGGTCAGGACAGAGTGAACATGGTGGTGGTGTTCAGCCTCTGACTTGGAGTATATCAGGATGTCGTCCAGGTAGGCAAACACCCACCGTCCCAACATGTCACGGAGGACATCATTGATGAAGCTTTGGAAAACGGTGGGGCTATTGCACAGTCCGAAGGGCATGACCTGGTACTCCCAGTGACCGGTGGGGGTGATGAACGCCGTCTTCCACTCATCTCCAGCTTTGATACGGACCAGGTTGTAGGCGCTCCGGAGGTCCAGCTTGGTGAAAATCCGCGCCTGGGAGATGGCATTCAGGGCGGACGTGAGGAGCAGCAGAGGATGGCGATCTCTGACTGTGATCTTGTTCAGTCCTCTGTAGTCGATACAGGGGCGGAGATCACCCTCCTTTTTCCTCACAAAGAAGAAGCCTGCGGCACCTGGGGACGACGAGGGTCGGATGAAACCTTGCTAGAGGGCCTGGCCGATATAGTCCTCCATAGCTCTCGACTCGGCAGGGGAGAGAGAAAAAAGGCGCCCCCGGGGTGGAATGATTCTTGGCTGGAGCTTGATCTCCATGTCGTATGGACGGTGAGGCAGCAGTGCGGTGGCTCGTTGCTTATCGAACACTGTGGCCAGATCCCAATAGGGTGGTGGCAGATTGGGTGGCGCAGAACCGGAGCCACCTTCCGGGCAGTCACGTCGAGGTGGAGGAGGAGAGAGGTGGGTCCGGCACTGGGCCC